TAAGCCCGGCTAGCCCCAGCAGAGTAAATTCTACAGAAAAAGCACCAAAAAATAACTTGTTTGGTTTCATCACTCCGCAGCTAGCTTGAAGGCCAGCTTTATTTCTAACATTTTAGCAGCATTTCTGGTAATGATAATGATAATAATAATAGATAGCATTTGTATAGCGCAAATCCCCGCTCAACAGCAAGCTCTGTGCGCTTCACAATCTATACTATTACCCCAGCAGACCTGAGAGCATTCTGAATCAACCTCAACTTCATGGGACACAAACAGTGTAAGCAGCCAATTATAGGCACTAAAACACTAACATACATGACTAGATCTTTCGCTGTCTATGGCCAGGTATCCATTCCCATCTAGGTGAAGTGAGGGAAAACTGAGACCTGTCTTTGGCTGAGCTTATGAAAATTATTATCATTTAATATTATCATATTCACATGGAGGAGATGTGTGGAAAGGTACATGAGAGATGAACCTCACTTGGAACGAGCTTGGAAGGATGGCCCAGGACAGAGATAAATGGAAGGAGCTTGTATGTGGCCTATACCCTGCCAGGGGTAAAAGGCATTGATGATAATGCTGATGATGATTATCATATTTTCAACAAATAATATTTTGTGGGTTAGCCTGTCTTATCATAAGGGTGACAATTAAAAAAATGTTTTCTCCGACTAAAGAATAGAAATTTCTGCCAGAGAAATTTACCATAAGGTGGACAGTGTGACAAAACAACTTGAAGACACCTGAGCTGTTGGAGACCTTGTGATCCTGGCAAACCCCGACCCTATAGAAACCCAACTGTGTCACAACGCAGTGGAATCAGGCGCTCGTCAAATTTTAGGGCATACGGAGTTATTGATATCATCGTAAAGCCTGCTCACTTTCCCCTTCTTTCAATGAAAGACAGCTCTTCTCATCTATTTTGAATAAAAGTAGTTATTTCAGAGGGAAAGGGGTTGTCGGGTGTCAGAAGTAAAATCAGAGAAAAAATGGCAGACAACAGTTTGGTCACTCTTAAAGCTTGAACAGTCTTGGAAACTGCACATAGACACTAACCAAAGTTTTCAGCAAATTCCACGTGGGAATGTGTTTTTCATATGGACATCAAAGATGTTACGCCCAGATAATAAAAATGTAACAAAAATTGCCCATCATAATGAGGGGAAAAATGTCTGTTTCTTTGACTTCATTATTTTGACGAGCTCCTGATTTCACCGAAGTGCCACACATCTAAGCGATGTCGTCACGTCAAAAGATACATCTCAGCGAAGTCGTCTTGTCAAAAGATACATCTAAGCGAAGTCGTCTTGTCAAAAGATACATCTAAGCAACGTCGTTACATCAGAAGATACATCTAAGCAAATACGTCTCGTCAAAAAGATACATCCAAGCAAAGTCGTTACGTCAAAAGATAAATCTAAGCAAAATCGTCACGTCAAAAGATACATATAAGCGAAGTCGTCTTGTCAAAAGATGCATCTACGCGAAGTC